GGGTGAGAGGATTCACCAGAGACAGAGAGGGGAGCAGAACAGGCCAACTGACAAAGTACACTGCTGAGGGGAGCAGCGGGCAGGTCAGGAGAGGTCTGCCGTGCCATGTGGATCTCCCCCCGGGCAGGCAGGGATAGAACTCATGCGGGAGTGGTTTAAGCTTCCCAGTGCAGTGCTTTAACCTGCTGCGCCACCAGGGAGGGCCTGGAGATTCACTTTTTAAGTGAATTGTTTTTTTTCATTTTGGTTTTCACTCTTGCTGCAATGCAGACTATCACAGAATGGTATAGAGAAGAAAGTGCATACTGATAGAAGGGTGCATTCATTCAGGCCAAGGTGAAGACACTTTGAAGTAGGGTGAGAACACTAGAGGTGGAAATAATAGGAAGGTAAGATATATTCAGAGGAAAAGGCAGAAATTGGTGAATAGAGATGGTGATTGTGAACAAGGAGTCACAGTTCACATTTAGGTTTCTAGAAGTACACGGCAGCTGTCATTCTCAGCGGTTGGGAGCACAGGAGGAGGAAGGGGAGGGAATGAGGTGATGAGTTAAGATTCAGAAAAGAATCAAAAGAGGCCTGGGCTAGACTGATGTACAGATCATGATGATAGCTTTTGTATTAGTTAGCTTTGGCTGCATAAAAAATAAGCCCCCAAACCTTGCACTTCCAGACAATAAATATTGTTTTTTAAGGTTCTGTGGGTTGGTGGGTAGTTGTCTGGTCTGGAAGGTCTGAATACATATCTGCAGCAGTCTGCAGGTAGCTTGGCTGAGCCTGGCTCTGGGATGGTCTCACCTGCCTCATACTGGATGGGTTACAGGGTGGGGGGCGGGGGTCAAGTAAAGTCTCCTGGCCAGCAAGCTAGCATGGGGCCCTCACATGGCCGTCTCATAAGGCCCCAGAAAACACAAGGACAAGCTCCCTAGCACTTCCCCCAAGACTCTGCTTGCTGCTGTCTCATGGGCCAACAAGTCTGGCCCAAGACGTGAGTAGAGCAGTAACCAAAGCTGCCACCATCATTTGTCTTTTTCTACTTTCTCCTCTCCTCCCGCTAGGATGACGCTGTATATGGGGAAGGATGAAGCTGGCTTCTATGTTTCTGAAGCACTGGTTCACACAGGGGTGGCTCTTGCGGTGAGAAGGTTCTCCGAGGGACTAGTGAGAGGGGGTGGGCAGAGAAGAAGCCCTTTGCTCATCCCATCTCCTGCCACAGCCTCGTGGACTGACACTGGCTCATGTGGATGGCCCCACCACGGATGAGGTGACACTCCAAGTCTCAGGAGAGCGCGAGGGATCGCCTAGCACGGCTGTCAAATACCCTTCAGGCAGCGTGGCTCTCCCTAGCCAGTGGCTACTCATTGGTGAGATCCCTTGGGTCAAACTGGAGATGTGAGCCCGCTTCTGAGCCTGGACGCTAAGGGCCATCTTCAGCCTGCTGACTTTTCTCTGCTGCTTAGGACACCATGAGCCACCTCCAGTCCTGCACACCACTATGCTGAGGGTCCATCCCACCCCAGGGAGTGGAACTTATGATACCAGATCTTCAGAGAACACCAGGACAGCAGCTCATTTCTTGCAGGTCAGCATTAGAAGGACCAAGAGCATGGGAGGAGACTTGGCAGGTGGGTGGTCAGCATCAGGCTTCTAGGAAAAACACTGAGGATGAGTCAACAGGCTTCACACACTCCCCTGGGGCACCATGAAGTTTCAGCACCACGGAGAGCACCATGCATCCCACCAAGCACTTAGCATCCCTCATCTGAGCCCAGACCTGTACTCAGTGCTGAAAAAAGTTAAAAGATTCCACAGTGGCACAGGGTACTAAGAGTGAAGACCTCTTTGTTCCCAGCTTCTGAGTATGAGCCGGGAGGATCCTGAGGACATCGCGGTATATCCTGAAAAGAAAACCCCAGACCCGTATGCAGACCTGGGCCTCCAAGATCTGCTGGCAGCTAGCCTCACTGCTGTGCTCTTGGGAGGATGGATTCTCTTCTTAATGAGGCAGGTAAGCCCTTCACCCCAACCTCAGGTTTGTCTTAGGGTCTTTCTAGCAGGATCTCTGCTCCTCCTCTCCAGTATCACTGAACAGCTCTCTCCCTCATCCAGTTCTGATTCTGCACCCTGCTATACCCTCAGTAGCTTCCCTGAGCCCCTGTGCTATGCTCTGAATGTTCCCCCTCCAGCGCCAGGATGTCAGGCACAGCTGCTGGGCCCTTCCTGGCCCAGTCAGGGCTGAGCTCTCTGAGGCCCTCGTGTTTCAGCAGCAGCAGCAGCACCAGCTGATGGGGAAGCAGCCACAGGACCCCGTGGAAGCTGCAGGCCCCCCTCACATCTCACAGGACACTCAATCCCAGTCCTCGGAGGTCACCACGCGGGGCCAGAAGAGGCTTCAAAGCCCCTCAGAGCAAGTCCAGCAGCTCGAAGATCCTGAAGGTGAGCTTAAGTGAACAGGAGCGGACAGAGTCAGGGACAGAGAGACGTGAGGGGCAGGTTTCATTTCAAAGCCTATCTACTGGAAGCCGCTACAGTTGGGTGGCTGAAGCTAAACAAGTGAATGAGTCTTGAGAGGTGCCTGCGATGTAGTTGAGAACTCTAGAGGAACCTGCATTGTTATTGCTATCGTTATTTTCAAGGACTCTTGATGCAGCTCAAGTGGGCAAAGACTTAACACCCTAGCTGTTAGCTCTGACCTGTTGTTCAATTCCTCTGAGCTTGTTTCCTCCAGCGTAAACAGTAACCCACTTCAGTCCACCACCTTGTTAGGGGCGGTCACCACCATCAGGTCATACCAAGGTGACGCTATTAACATTTGTGTTAAAAATCACATCGTATTCGATAACAATGGTAAATTCCCTAGGTACAAGGTGGCACCTTCTTCCCTCTTTAGGGATTTTTGTTTTTAAAATATTCTGTCTTTGTTTTTCAATTTAATCCTGTAAACAAGCCTTCTAGGGTCCCCTGTGTCGGGGGAGGCCCAAGGGTTCCTCCACCTGCTTTACAGGTCAGTGGCCTCCGCCTCTCCTGCTTCTTTAGCTCTGAGCCAGCCTCAGCCTGCAGCCCATGGCATGGACTCCGCGGCACCTCCAGCCCAGCCCTGCTGTGCCTGAGGTTGCCTGCTGGCCCTCTGCCCAGGCCAGGGCTGCCTCCAGCACTCCCCCGGCCTTCATCTTGCTCTGTTCACAGGAAAGCAGCTCCCCTCCTCAGGTCAGCTCCCTCAGCAGCCAGCCCAGCACAGAGCTACCTCAGCTCTGGGCCGTTGCAGTCTGTCATTCTACTGGCTCTGGGTGGTTCCCAGGAATCTTCTCCCCAGTGCAGTCTGAAATCTGCATCTCCCAACAGGGGCTGTCTTTCCCCAGACAACCCTGACTCCATCTTTCCCCAGAGGGTTCTCATTGAGGACCCTGCATCCCTCCATGGTCCTTCTGGTGCTGGCTTCCTCTCCAGGCAATTTGCCTCTGTCAGCAGATTTTAGCAATAATATGAGTGAGGACAAAAGGGCCAGTGAACCCCAGCCCTGGTCCAGCCAGGACTTATATAAAATACCTAACATCTATGGGCACTATAAGAAACTAAAGTGATACCCATACTTTGGGAGAAGAATCCAAGAAAACAGAACAGCCAGATGGAGCAGGGCCTGTCTGTGGCGATTCTGGATTTCCTTGATCTTTTAAGAAAACCATTCTATTTCTGTCACTTATGAACAAAGTATAAATGCATTTATACTTTGGCATTTTCATGAGCTGTAGGCACAGCCCAGAGAGGACAGGCGGAGTGGTGATAAACACAGTGAGGTCAGTGGGAGTGGAGGGAGCATGGCAGAGGCAGGAAAGAAGCCTGGGCAGAAAACGCGCAAAGAGCGAGAACAGCGTCAGCACAGCAAACCTCACGTGGCCCTTCTTCCACGCATTCCCCATCTGCAAAGGGGGCCGGCCTCACCAGCCCTGCTTTGAAATGAGAAAACCGGGGGCACAGTGCTTAAGTCATTGGTCCAAATGGTCGTCGGTAGTCCAGTCCTGCCATCGACCTGGGCAGGCCAGGGGTTGAGCATGACATGGGGTGTGTGGAAGCAGCTGTGGCAGGGCGGTGGCCGAGGGTGGCAAGTGAGGCTCCTGAGACCCGGCCGTGCTCTCCCCTAGATGTGCAGCTCACCGTGGTGGGGAAGATTTCCTTTGACCCCAAGGATGTGCTGGGCCGAGGGGCAGGCGGGACCTTTGTCTTCCGGTGAGTGCCAGCCTGGACCCCAGGAGAGGTGGCATTCACAGGCCTTTCCACAGTCCCCTGCAGTCACCTCTAAGAATCCTGCAGTCACCTCTAAGAATCCTCCAGGTGGGTACCACCTGGTGCCTGACTCACCAGTGCTTGACTTTTCTCCCCTGAATCCGGCCTGCCCGCCTCCCAGGGGACAGTTTGAGGGGCGGGCAGTGGCCGTCAAGCGGCTCCTCCGGGAATGCTTCGACCTGGTCCAGCGGGAGGTCCAGTTGCTGCAGGAGTCTGACAGGCACCCCAATGTGCTCCGCTACTTCTGTACTGAGCGGGGACCCCAGTTCCACTACATTGCCCTGGAGCTCTGCCAGGCCACATTGCAGGAGGTGAGGCCAGTGCTCAGGGAGGTGGGGCGGGAGCAGGGAAGGTCCAGGCTGCAGCGCCCGCCACTGTCCCTTGCTTTCCCAGTACGTGGCAAGCCCAGAGCAGGCCCGCTGGGGCCTGGAGCCAGAGATGGTGCTGCAGCAGCTGATGTCGGGCCTGGCCCACCTGCACTCCCTCCACATAGGTACCGCCCCGCCCTACCCTTTAGCCACCCTGTGGGCGACACCCCGGCTCTCACCCTGCTCCGCTCCACCCTCACAGTGCACCGTGACCTGAAGCCAGGCAACGTCCTCATCGCCGGTCCCGATGGCCAGGGCCAGGGCAGGGTGGTCCTCTCAGACTTCGGCCTCTGCAAGAAGCTGCCCGCTGGCCGCTGCAGCTTCAGTCTCCACTCGGGCATCCCTGGCACAGAAGGCTGGATGGCACCCGAGCTCCTACAGCTCCTGCACCCCGGCAGCCCAGTGAGTACCCCGCTGCCCAGCCCCGAGTCACCCTCCCAAGCCTTTGTCCTTACCTGGAAGGGGGTTGGCCCCTCCCCGACCCGGAGCAATGACTCTTAACCAGGGGCTGCGTTGTTGCTGCTGCCGAGGCAACAGTGGGCAGCACCTGGAGACTTGTTGTCACATTAGCGGGAAGGGGGCTTGCTGCTGGCCTCTGGTGGGAGAGGCCTGGAGCGCTGCTGAGTGCCAAGGCACAGAGGGTGGCTGCACTGAATTGTCTGCCCCCGAGGGCAATGGTGCTGCAGTGAGAAACCCTGAGCTTGAAAATACGTTTCAACCTCAGCAAAGCTGTGCTATAGAATCCTGCAGAACTTGGGGCCAGATGCCCACGTGCTACCCCAGTGGACCTGACCTGCTGGCCTGCAGGGGCTCCTGGGGATAACAGTGGGCAGTCAGGGTGCAGGCCACTGTGGCCGAGGGGCTGAGGGAGCTGATACTCTGGGACACAGAGCTGCATCTGACCCCAGAGATATCTGAACTTGGGACCCCCGTACTGCAGATTGAGGCTGTGGGTGGGGGAAGTTAGTTGTGGGCACAGTCACTAGGCAAAGCCCCCACCCCGCCAAAAAAGGTGGTAACTTGGACGCCCAAGGACCAAGCACACTGATGTTACCAGCCTGTGTAAGTTTTACTTTTTAATTGGCGACCAATGGATTACCTATGGGGAAATTGTACATACATACCTGGATGTCTGTATTCTTTTGGGCAAAGAAAGCTCTGGGGCACTCCCTGGAGGCAGCCAGATAAGTCCCAGCCCCAGCCGCAAGGACCCTCGTCCTCACCTCGTCCTCACTGGGGCCAGCCCTCTCCGTACCTGCTGGGCTCTAGAGAAATGAAAGCCACGGCCGCTACCAGGACTGGAAGCTCTACTAGTTGGGCCAGAGGTCCTGGAAGAAAGCCACGGCTCTCAGCCGTGCGGGGGGCGTCCTCCTGCAGGCCGCAGCCCCAGGCGGCACTAACCCGGCAGACTTTCGGGGAGCAGGCTTCCACCTCACCGCTCTCCGGCCCCCAGACCAGCGCGGTGGACGTCTTCTCTGCGGGCTGCGTGTTCTACTACGTGCTTTCCCGTGGCGGCCACCCCTTTGGAGAGAGTCTCTATCGCCAGGCAAACATCCTCACAGGGGCTCCCTGTCTGGCTCACCTGGAGGAAGAGGCCCACGGTGAGGGGGACTGGGCTGGGTGGAGAAGGGTGCGCGGAGCATGAGGCTGGGTGGGCGCGCCGCCATGCCTGCCTTCCCCCTGCAGACCAGGTGGTCGCCAGGAGCCTGGTGGAGGCCATGTTGAGCCCGCAGCCGCAGGCCCGGCCCTCTGCGCGCCAGGTGCTGGCCCACCCCTTCTTCTGGAGCAGAGCCAAGCAACTCCAGTTCTTCCAGGTCAGGGGGAAAATGTTGGGATTGACCCCACCAAGTCCAAAGTCTGGGTTCTGAGCATCAAGGCGAAGCCAAGTTATCCGTGCAAAGGACTTAGCTGCTGCTCAAGGCGGCCCAGCTCCTTCTCTAACGCTGAGTGGAGCCCAGACCTGGGCACTCCAGCCCACTCTTTACCCACTTTCTGCCTCGGCTGGCCCATGGGGTGGGGGGGCACACACCCCGTTCCTGTCAGTCTGTCATTGATGTTGCCCCTGCGACAGTCCATTCTGCTGTGTGACCTTGAGCACAGGACTTCGAGTCTTGAGCTAGCCTGCAAAATAGGGACAGCAGCTGCGTCCCAGGCCGCAACAGTGGGGGCCCAGCAGAGAAGCGGCACCCACAGGCACAGCAGCAACCTTGTCCTAGACCAAGCAGCCACACCCCAAGCCCGAGGGCGCATCTGGCCTTGTGGCCACAGGGCGGTCCTGAGTCTCAGGAGCTGTGTGGGGCCCCCAGGATGTCAGCGACTGGCTGGAGAAGGAGTCTGAGCAGGGGCCCCTGGTGAGGGCACTGGAGGCTGGGGGCGCTGCCGTGGTCCGGTGCAACTGGCACAATCACATCTCGGTGCCGCTGCAGACAGGTAGGGCCGGGCTTGGGGGGGGCTGGGGGCAGAAGGCAGCTCAGTGGGAACAGCTTGGCCACCGATGTCCCTGTGCAGATCTGAGAAGGTTCCGGTCGTACAAGGGGACGTCAGTGCGAGACCTGCTTCGTGCCATGAGGAACAAGGTATGCGCCAGGGCTTGGGGGGCTGATCTCACGGGGCCAACCCCAGCTGAGGACTCTGCTCTAACCCTCCAGAAGCACCACTACAGGGAGCTCCCGGCTGAGGTTCAGCAGGCCCTCGGCCACATCCCCGACAGCTTCGTCCAGTACTTCACAAACCGCTTCCCGCGGCTGCTCCTCCACACACACCAGGCCATGAGGAGCTGCGCCTCCGAGAGCCTCTTCCTGCCATACTACCCACCGGCCCCGGGAGCCAGGGAGCCACGTCCAGAGGCTGCTGGGGCTGCCGGCCAGAAAAGGAGCTGGGCCTGCGACTGAGGCTGGCCTCGGCCTCAGAAGACTGGCAGAGGCTGGCGAACCAGGCCACCTGGAGCCAAGACGCACCCCGCAGGACGTACCAGGAAAGATTAGGTTCACGTGTTTAATGTGTGCAAAAGCAAGAAAGGACAGTCCCGGATTCAACAACAACATTCTGTACAATTCATATGGCAGGGCTGGGAGGGCCAGAGAACCTGCACCAAACATGTACAACAATAATTTACAGCGCGACCCCCACCCGGCACCTGGAGCTGGGGGCCACGACAAAAAGCAGCTCCTTGGCATTAACCAGATGGGCCAAGCGCTGTGGGGACGGGGAGGGGCTGCAGTCCAGGGCAGGCAGGGCTACGCGGAGGCCTTGAGGCGGTTGTTGGCCGAGCGCGAGCTCAGCAGCTTGTCCACCATGGTGCGGGCGTAGCGGAGCCGGCCGGCCAGCTCCTTGCAGCAGCCAAACTGCTCCAGGAGGCTCAGGCGGTACGTGCGGAAGTCCCGCTTCTCATCGATGTAGGTCACGGCCGCCATCAGCGGGCACAGGATGAGTTTGGTGTGGTCCTATGAAGGAAGGCGGTGAGGGCGGGCAGGCAGAGGCTGACCAGTGGCTCAAAGATCCCGGCTGATGGGGGTCGGGGGTCCCCTCCATTTCATCCTTCCTGCTGCCAGGGCCCACACCTACCAACCCAGCCCAGCCTGGGGCCTTCTGACCGGACACCGCGTGCAAGGGGGCTCACCTGGAAGAAGTTGATCTGCACACAGCCATTACTGAGGTGCAGGATGATGGCACTGCGGGTGCGGAACCAGGTCCGCAGGTAGGGCAGGCGGGCCAGCTCGTCGCCTTCCCGGGGCGTGATGTTGGCACCTGCCTTCAGCAAGTGTTCGCTCATGTAGTTGCGGAAATACTTAAGCAGGGTGATCTGGTTGGAAAGCAGGGGCCGGGTTTGAGTCTGGGCCTGCCCCGCACCCCCAGCTCGGCCCGCACCCAGCCACCCAAGCCCCGGGCAGCCAGCACTCACCTTCTTTATCAAGGAGTTGGGGTGGGCACTGACCGAGAGGTAGGACTCAGTGCCGTCACGCTCTATGTACTGCAGGCTGTCCCCGTCGTTGTAGAGGATGAGGCGAGTGGAGTCATTGAAGAGAACCCCCACGCTGTTGTCACACAGCTGATAACCTAGTGGCAGGGGAGGGAGTGCTCAGAAAAAGGGGGAAGCGCACTGGGAGCTGCAACCGGAGGCCCGGGGTGGAGATGGGAGAATGGCAAGGGGCGAGGTTCTGGGAGCCAGGAGCGAGGCGCCTGCACAACACTAGGCTGGGCCGGAGCCACCCGCCACCGCGGAAGAAACCTACCGAGGCCGTACTTGTCTGAGTAGTCCACCCACTTGCTGACCCAGAAGATGGGGATGCAGGCGGGATCCTCAGCCTCCTCTGGGGCAGAAACAGAAGGGTAGTTAGGACCTGCCTCTTCTCTGCTGGTTCAGAGAGGCTGAGTCAAGAGAACTGAGGCCACAGAAGGCAGAGCAGACAAGCAGGACATTTAAGCAGAAAGTTAGAGCACAGCACCAAGTCCCCTGTTCATTCACTCACTCAGTTAAACCATTTATCACGGCCTACTGTGTGTGAGGCACCGTCATAGTCCGGCGAGCAAGGACCAAAACCCAGCCTTCCCAGGAGCTTGTATTCCAGTTACAGGAAGAGACTAATCAAAATAAGTGTGGACCAAATAGCTAAGGTACTTCTAGCCTGATGAGTCAGAGACTGTCTAGTTTTCCAGTTTTGAGTGATCAGACCTTGTGAGGAGACATTTCAAATACACCAAAATCCCTTACTAGTTGAAACTGGGGAATGTGTCAGAGATGGTGTTACGGAGAAAGAAAGCAGGTGAGGAGGGGCTGAGACGTGCTAGGAGTGGGTGGGCAGGGAAAGGCTCATGGAGGTGACAGCGGGCACACATGTGGAGGGGAGGCAGCCATGCAGCTACCTGGTGGAAGTGCTTTGTAGGGGGAACAGTTCAAGCAAGACCCCCCCAAGCTGGGTCTGTTAGCGTGCAACATACAATGTAGCACAGAGGGACTGGAAGATGGGGCAGAGGTGAGACAGAACCAGAAAAACAAGGCGGGGGCCAGACCATGGAGGGCCCTTGTGTGGCAGGCTCATTTGAACTTAATCTTACAGGAAACGGGGGACTAAGAATACCACAGACTCAGGGGCTGGACAAACTACCAGCGCCCTGCTGGTATCTCCTTGACCAGATGCCCAGCCGCCCACACCCTAGGCCCGCAGCACCCACCTTGTCTCACCATCCCCCGCTCTGAGGGCTTAGAGGCGTTGACACTGTGCAGCTGCTGCAGCATGTCGCCCAGGTGGCAGTCGGCTGCCTCATTGTTCTCCCGGAGCACGGGCTCCTCTTTCTCCCGAGGACGGTCGGGCACAGGGTTCTCTGTGCCTAGGGAGAAGGTGAGACTGTCATTAGCTGGGCACAAAAGGAGGTCGAGGACTATCTTCCCTTAGCTGCTCTTCTCTCCAGTGAAAAACTCCCAGCTGCCACTGCTTTGGGTAAACTGAGTCAGTGCCTGGTTATGAGAGCAACAGCTGCCACACTGCTGTACCAGGAGCCGGGTCATCACAGGTAGCCCCAGGCCCGGCCATGCCCCGGAGGAAAGCCTCATGGCCTCACAGCAGAGCATCGATTCTCGGGCTTCTGACCCAACACTGGGCTGTGAGGAGCACCACTGCCCACTCAGAAGCCTGAAGGCAACGGCGGGAGCTGCCCAACTTCAAGCAAAGAATTAAAAGCATCTTCCATATCTACTAAGTTACAGCATTTGGACAAGATGGATAAAGGAGGCATTTAATGCACACCTAACGTAATTTTCCAACCTAAAACGGTGTGCAGACACACACACAAATAGAACTCCAGAGAGTCTGAGAAGATACACACCGAAATATTAACACTGGCTGCATCTGGTGGTAAAATATGGTTGTTTCTTACTAGCCTTTATGCTTAAAGGTTTAATTCTTTCCCCACCAACATGTACTAATCCTTCTTGTGTAATAAAATTTTTCTTAAAATACTTCAGTTTTCAATTAAAAAAAAAAAAACAAATCTATGCTATGATAAGGATTCAAGGGTGAAACCAGACATTTAGGATTTGCCTGGAAGACTAGCAATTGAAGGCGGGCAGCGGAATTGATAAAAACAAGTGTGGCAAATACTAATGATCAGTAATGGGTCACAAACACTTGAGTCACCATATAGTCCTCCTTACTTTGGGGTAAGCTTTTTTTTTTTTTAAAGTATGTTCCAAAATGAAAATCAAAAAAACAGTGTTAATTATAACTCAAATAATAAATCTGCGAGTCCATACTGACATCAAAAACCAAATAAACACATGAAGGGGAAACAAGAGCTGCTCTGTACAGAATTCAGCTGAAGACATGCAGGAGGGAGGCGGGAAGAGGCCCTTGAGAACACAGCAATAGCAACCTCTATGGGCAAGACCAGCCATGGATGCTTGACTCGTGGGCAAAGTTTGAGGAGCAACGGGATCCTCCAAGTGGCTCCTGGCACGGTTATGAATTAGCAATACACTGGGGAGGATGACCCTGCAGCAGAGAAATGCAGCAGATCCCACCTTCAGCGAGTGACCCAGATTATCACCAATCAAAAGAAATGTCAAAAATTAAAACCCAAGAGAAAAAGGACTGCAACTGGAATAAATGAACCTATGTATTAAATTGGTGCTGTAGCAATACTAAAGAAAGCATTTCAACTAACTTTTGTTTGAACCATATCCTTAGTGAAATATATCTTAAGGACAAATACAAATAGGAGAAAATAACAGGAACGAATTTATATAGGCAGAAAAATTTATGTGTATCAGTGTAAGGAAATAAGATTTTCTGTTTAAGAGAAAAATACAATACAAACAAGTAAAAACAATAAAAACACTGCAATATTATGTTTGAAAGAGGCACTTAAATTACCAAGAGAAAAAAACACTCCACAGTGAAGAACTGTTCTAAGACAACACTGTATCAATGCTAAGTATCCTGAACTTGATAACCACTGTCAAGCTCTATGGTTCTGTGAAAGAACAGTTGTTTTTAGGAAGTAAGTGCCAGAAAATGTAGACAAGCTCAAATGGTTCAAAGTGGCATGTGGCTTGGTGTGACACGTCCGCCTGGAGATGCAGGCTGAAGTGTAGGGGCGGGACGGCAAGGTGCTGGGGTAGACAGAAATACGTGAAAGAACTGAGGAGAGATGAAACACACATGACAAAACATTGGTAACGGAGGAAGCTGGTGGAATGTGGGGGATCAATGAATGCATTATGCTCTGAATGCAGATTTCAAGGTTTCATTTTGCCAATGGTCTGCTCCAGTGTCTCTCCGAGCCAGGCAGAGGGGAAAGGGCACCTGGCTGTGGGAGGACGGGAACCTGCTCAGGGAGCAGGGCCTGGCGGCTCCACACCCCTCCAGCACGTGTCGAGGCCTGCCGTCTACCCAGACCCTCCTGTTACCTTTATTGAGGACTGTGAGAGGCTTCCGGTTGCTGGGGTCCAGAGTGCTGGGTGTGATGGAAAACCTGGGTGGAATGGTGAGGCAGGTGATGGGGAGACGGGCAGGGATGTAGCCGGAAGTAAAGAACTCGTCGTTGAGCAGCTCGTGAATGGTTGGGCGGGCAGTGGGGTCTGTCTGCAGCATCTTTTGGATGAGGGAGGCGGCCACAGGATTGATGTGCTGCAGCAGAGAAGGGAAGGCATTAGCATAGCATGCCAGGCCAGGCCCAGGGCGCAGGAGGGAACTACAGGCCTCCAGCTGGCATGCAGCGCCTGGCCTTAGCCACCTTTGGTGGCTATAAAACTGCCACATTGCCCGCTGTCAGCTTTACGGGGTCAACCAGCGTCAGTCTCACTTGTGAGACTCTCATTTCTCCTTCCTTCTCAGAGTGCAGTCTGAGGTCACTTGAATCTGCTCTTACCTAGCTAAGTTACTCGCCACTGGGA